ATATTATGCTAAGTGAAATAAGCCAGGCAGAGAAAGATAAGTACCACACGATCTCACTCATATGTGGAATGTAATAAACAAAATAAATTGATGAACAAAATTGATCTAGAGACATAGAAGCATGGAATAAACCGAGGGATCTCAGAGGGAAGGCAGGGCGAGGGAGTGGGTGGGGAGGGATTCATCAAAGATCTTCTATGCTTATATACATAACCCATGGACACAGATCTTGGTATGGGGAAGGCCTGGGGCGGGGTGGATGCAGGGTGGAGAGGGTCAATGGGGGGAAAAAGGGGACATTTGTAATACTTTCAACAATAAAGATAAATTAAAAAATAAAGATCTACATGATTTATAGCATTTTTCAAGTCTTCTAATTCTCTGTTTATCTTCTATCTTCTGTCTAGTTATTCTATTATTGAAAATGGGGTACCAAATTCCCCAAGTGTTATTGTAGACTTATATATTTCTCCCTTTATTTCAGTTTTTGATTCATGTATTTTGGTGCTTTGTTGTTAGGTGCATATACATTTATAATTTTTATATTTTTCTGATGTATTGACTCTTTTATCATTATAAAATGTCACTCATTGACTCTAGTGACAGTCATTGTTTTAAAGTGTATTTTGCCTGATATTAGTATGGTCACTCCAGCTTTCTTATAGTTGCCATTTGCCTGATCTTTCTTTCTATCCTTTTACCTTTGTTTGTACCTCTTAACCTACAAGTATGACTCTCATAAATAGTATAGAGGTAAATCTTGTTTTTTCCTCAGGCTGACAACCTCTGCCTTTTCATTGCACTGTTTAATCCATTCATAGTTATTATTCACATAGGTGTATTTAAGACTGCAATTTTACTATTTGTTTTCTATATGTCTCAAATTTTTTGTTTTTGTTTCTCCATTTCTCCCTCTGCATTGCTTTAGATTGAAATTTTTCTAATACAGCATTTAAATTTCTTTAATAATATCTTCACTATGTATTTTCAGTTATTTCCTTAGTGGTTGCTCTAAGGCTTACCATGCACATCTTAACTAAATTGTCTTCAGATATATACTAATTTCGATGAGATATAAAAACCATAATCCTATATAAACCTATTCCTTTCCCTACTTCATGATATTATTGTTTTTACATATTATTTTTACATGTTATAAACATAACAATACATTGTTATAATTATTACTTAACATAATTTTATGTCTTTTGAAGAAGTTGAAATAAGAAAGCAGAGCAAGTATATATTTATAGCTTTTTTATATTAACCTTATTTCCCATTTTCTTATTTCCTTCATTTGATCCAGTGGATTTGAGTTACCATCTGAAGTCACTTCGTTAGTCCAATATAGTTTTGCTTCCACCCACCTCCTTTGTCCTGTTATTGGCAAATATATTACAGTTTCACATGTTACAGGCCCTAAAATGCAACTACATACATACTGTTTTATAAAATTTATTTTTAAATCAATTAAAATAAAGGAAAATGCACTTAAACTGTCTTTTATAATTACATAATTAAATTTACCCGTGGTATTTTTTGTATGTGTAGATTCAAATTACTGTCTGAGGTCACTTGCTTTCCACCTGAAGAACTTCCTTTAATATTTCCTGTAAATCAGGTGTGCCAGCAACAAATTCTCCCAGTTTTTATTATATGGGAATGTCTTTGTTTCATCTTCATTTTTGAAAAATAGTTTTATTGGATGTAGGATTCTATAGTGACAGTTTTTTTCTTTGAGCACTTTGGATATGTTATCCCACTGCCACCTCCATTGTTTCTGATGAGAAGTCAGCTGTTAATCTTATTGGTGTTCCATTGAAAGTGATGCTTCATTTTTTTCATGTTGCTTCCAAGACTCTCTGTGTTTTAGCATTTTATTATAACACATTTGTGGGTTTCTTTGTTTACCCTACTTGGGGTTTGCTGAGATCCGTGGATGTGAAGATAATGCTTCTCATTAAATTTGGGATGTTTATAGCCATTATTTGTTAGAATATTTTTTCTGCTTTCTTTCTCTTCTCTTTTTTTCTGGTACTCCCATTACAAGTATGTTGGAGTACTTAATGATTGTATACTCTGTTCAATTTTTTTCATTATTTTTTCTTTCTGTTCTTCAACCTGTATACTATTATCTCATTTAATTCTTACAACCCAATGAGGTAAGTAGTATTAGTATCCTCATTTTATAGATGAGAAAACTGAGGCTCAGACTAAGTGACTTGCCCAGTTCATGGAGTGGTAAATGTGGCTGTGAAGTTCAAACACAGTTCTGAGGCCAAAGTTTGTACTACCTCCTCTATACCATATTGTCTTTCCAGTCTCCAGCAACTATAAACAAACAACTGGGGAATTTGGGACTGGCTACCTCTCTTCTAGAGAGCTCTTTCTTCCCATCTCCCCTTTAGTATTTTTGCTAGTATACTCTTCTTCTAAAAGGCATATACCTAATATCTAACATATCTTAAATGTTTATTTGATGTTTATTGCTTTGAATTCAATGATTACTGAATGGTAGCTAGTTTAATGACCAGGAGAATATCACTATTTAGATCTAGATGCTTCATTAGAAAAATATATGGCTTTTTGAAGACATTGATAACTTAATAGAAAGTATTCATTAAATATGTATACTGACTTATGAAACTACCTATTATTACTGCTGATAGTTCTTATTTAACAACATTTGTTAATGTTTAGGCCTGAGTCCTGGTCATTTATTTACTACATGAATACAATGAGGGACAAATGGACTCTAATAAATAAATATTTCAACATTTAGTTTTTTTAGTTCTGCATATAGGTGGCAGTCTTGGAAAGAATGTTATCTCTAGGAATAGGTATTAAGACCACAGATCAACTATGAAGATTTAAAAAAAATCCTTGGAAATAATCCTTTGCAATTTATCCTGAGAAAATGATACTCTTTGTACTCTACCCTTCACACTCAGTATCTTGTCTGTCCTATATAGTCTTTGAATATAGAAAGTGTTTTTTACCAATTCTTCCAAAAGCTAAAGGGATTATCTTAATTAGACTGTTTTCTTCCAGTTTCTCTTCAATTTCAAACACATTGCTATCTATATAGAAATTCTAGATGCAAGATTCTGATCAAGAAAGACTTCCTGGGACTCATAATCTATAGTTCTTCTAGCTACCACTGATTTCTGTAGTGCTTTCTGTAGCAGATGATCTGAGAGAAGCAGCCTGGAGATCAGACTGTTGCTTTTTGTTCTTTCCAAATTCTATCACCAAAATTTTCCCATGTAGTTTATATCCATTTATTAGATGAAACGCTTGCCATGCTATCTCCTTATCTAAAAGGAAAAAAAAAACAATTTACACAGGGTTTAATAATCCAATTCTATTCCCAGTTTACTTTATGTTTTTTTTTTTTGCCTTGGGAGGCTATAAGGCCATATAGCTATTTGATTTTATTATCTTTTCCATAATCTCAAATTTGTATAACTCAACAAGATTAAACTAATGGCTAAGAATAATGACTAGAAAAACTTGAAATGGGTTTGAGAGTGCCTTGTAATTTAAAGATATAGGTAAAGAAACAAGAATATAGACAGTGTGTTAAAGAAGGCTAAGCTATAACTACTAATACACAAGCCTCTATCTTAGATAACAGATTATAGGTATTGTGAGAATAAAATCATTTTCAAAATGGGCAACACAAATAGAAGAGGTTATCGTGGTATTAAGGTCATTTTGCTACTTTCATCTTTTGATAGGACAGTGATTGTGGGAGCCCTCATTGAGATAAATAAGTGTAATAATTAATCCTCATAAGCACATGAAACTTGAGATGTGAGAGTAGTGTACAACAGTAGTATTCAACTAATGTGTCTCAGACCCTTGATGTGGGAAATCAGGAAGGAGTGGAATTATTGATGGGAGTCTGTGAAATCAAAAGTAGACAAGCAATATCTTTAGGCTGAACCAATTTATATCACAATTTATGTATGTACTATAAATTTTTAAATGTGGATAGCTGCTATTATGATTAGTAAAACAGCTATCCATTTGAAAGAACTTAATTTATAAAGCCTTTTTATTATATATTTTTCTTAATTAATGCATATTAGGTGGGGGAGATCCATGAACTATTTTTTAAGTTTAAAAAGGGTCCTCACACTTAAAAAGACTAAAAAGCACTAGTGTATATCACCCACAAACCTTTAATAAGATAGCAAAGATGGTATAAGACTATTGGAGTTTGGAACTGCTCAAGTGTAAATCATTTGCCTTTACATAGATTACTAGACTGTTTATAAGTGATGATAGTTTAGGAATGATGAAAAGTACAGCTCATAACCAGCCGCTACCCCCCTCCCCCCCAAAAAAAATGATAGCCTGGTCTGTCACAGAAACTGAAATTCCTGTATTACTGATCCCTTTGGATTAGGATACTGAAATCACATGTTAAGATGCAAACTAGTTATAAGAATATATCACCATCCACTAACTATGAATTACTAGTGAATCAGCATATTAGCTTGCAGTCTCTTAGTCCTAAAGGAATAGGGCATTATGTAAGTGTAAGTGTTCTGATTGGAATACCAATATATCAATAAGCAATATAATTATAACTTGGACTACAAATACTATTGTGAGCAAGGGTAAAGTAAAGTTTTTAAAGGTAAAGTTAATTTTGATAAAGTGAGAAGAAAGTAACAAGACTGGGGAAAATTGAAGACAATGGAGTAAGGTGGTCATGCACAGTAAACAGAGGAGAGAAAGCACAAAAGGCAGAATAGAGGAACATTGAAAACATTTTGCTTACTTCTCTTCCCTTCTTCCCATGTGCTTATTTAAGCACCTGCTTCTCATGTGTTATAGAGAAATCAAATGATTGTATCTAAATTAGAGAGGGTATAAGTAGTTTCTAATGATAATTCTACAACGCACTAATTAACCAGATAAAGCTACTTACTGGGAAAGGTGATAAAAGCTTGCCCCCTCATTCGGCCAGTCATCATTCGAAATTGAATTAGAGGTCCTTTTTTCTCCTGGAATCGAGCGAACAATGAGACAAGATCTCTTTCGGTCACCCGAGGGCTAAGGTTCTTCAGGTATAACACCTAATGTAAACCGAAGATCAACAGAAATATCACATGAGGGAGGTAAAGCAACTACTTCATTGTGGTTAGAAATCATTAGTTTCAGATATAGATGGTGGATAGAACACATGAATCTAATTTTACTCCCTCCAGAAAAATCTCAAAAACTGTAGTATTTTTTTTTTTTCTTCTCTCTAACAAATCTACAAGGTCAGGAAGAACAAGAAAAGAGATAATAGAAAGAATATTCTGTAAGCTGGAAAATACTAGATTAGTATACTCAAGAAAGCTGAATCTTCAATCAGCAGTGGGAAAAGCCAGAAACCAATCCAATCTACACCTAAGAATTCTAAAACAGTTCAGTAGCTTCATGTATCTCTGGAAATGGATGTAAAGGGATGGGGTTAAGATAAGGTGGGTAGGTTGAAAGCTGCTTAATAACCAACTAGATCTTAAAATATCTGCCCCTACAATATGCTGCTAGGGAAAAGCCACTCCTAATCCTGGTGAATACTGCAGGCTCATTCTCTGAATATAAGGAATGCCAGACACAGTTGAATGTGTGAATACTGTTTTTTAAAGCAAGATAATTAAGATAAATAATTCATACTAAATGCTGACGACACCCCAGACAGTTTCCCCCATTTGGCTCCTATAATGCTGGTAGTACCCTCCTAAGCAATAGTTTGTTAAGTGTCTTCTCTGACGAATCCGATTAGCCCCAAGAAGAAAGATCTAAAAATACTAATTTGGGATAGGGAATTTCTCCAACAAATGGACCAGCCAGATGACTTTAAAGTGAAGCTCAAAGTTAACAAGGACCACTGATGTACTCAAAGCTCCCAATCTGTTTTTGGCTCCTACTCATAAATATGAGCATGGATTATCAGGCACCTGAGGAAAGCCTCTAATGTGAAAGACAGAGAAAAAAACAAACAGAAATGAAAGCAAATAGGAGAAAACAGAGACCACGCAAAGAAGAAAAAAATCTTCAAAAACCATCATGAATACCCTCAGAGAAATAAGAGACACCATTCTATCTATTAGGAATGGGATGCTATTTTTTTTTTTTTTTAAAGGACAGTCAAGAAAATAAAAAAGAGCTACTTAATGTGACTTAAGCTCTTATTGGCTTAAAGTAAATTGTTATAACTCTAAGAAATTTGTTATAACTTTAAGTAAGCCAATTGTAACCATAAAAAAATACCTATAAGGAGATACACAAAAGAAAATGAGAGAGGAAAAAGCATATCATTACAAAACAAATCAATGAAACACAAAGGTAGACATTAAGAGAAAAAAGAGGGACAAAGCTACAAGACAGAAAACAACTAATAAATGGCAATAGTAAGTCCTTCCCTATCAATGATGACTTTACATGTAAATGGATTAAACCCTCTTATTGAAGACATACAGTGGCCAAATGAATAAAAAAAGATCCAATGTATGCTGTCTAGAAGAAATTCACTTTAGATATAAGGCCACACATACGCTAAAAATGGATAGAAAAAATATTCCATGTAAATGGCAACAAAAAGAGAGCAGGGGTATCAGACACAATAGACTTTTAAGTCAAAACTGTCACAAGAGACAAAAAAGAACATTATATAATGATAACAGGGTTAATTCCCCAGGAAGATATAACAATTATAAATATATATGCACCCAACATCAGAACACCTAAATGCATGAAGCAAATGTTGAGAGAACTGAAGAGAGAAAATAGCAACACAATAATATTAGATTTCCATACCTTGCTTTCAATAGCAGAAGGAAAACTAGAAAATTCACAAATATGTACAAATTAAACAAATTACTCTTGATCAACTAATGGGTCACAAAGAAATTAAAAGTGAAATTAGAAAATATTTTGAGACCCCCCCCCAAAAAAATGAAACCATATCATAAAATATATGGGATGTAGCAAGAGCAGTACTAAGAAGGAGGTTTATAGTGATAAATGCCTATATTAAAAAAGAAGAAAAATCTCAAATAAACAACTTTACACTCCAAGAAATAAGAAAAAGAACTAAGCCTAAAGTTAGCAGGAAAAAAAATAGATTAGAGCAGAAATAGACAAAACAGATTATAAAAACAAATTTTAAAAATCAACTAAGTTAGAAGTTAGGTTTGTGTGTGTGTGTGTGTGTGTGTGTGTGTGTGTGTGTGTTTAATATATCTTTATTGATTTCAGAGAGAGGAAAGGAGAGGGAGAGAGAGAGATAGAAACATCAATGATGAGAGAGTCATTGATCGGCCGCCTCCTGCACGTCCCCAACTGGGAATCGAGCCCACAACCCGGGCATGTGCCCTGACTGGGAATCGAACCCTGATCGCCTGGATCCTAGGTCAACGCTCAACCGCTGAGCCACGCCCGGCCGGGCAGGAGTTAGTTTTTTTTAAAGATCAACAAAATTGACTACCTTTAACTGGACTAATAAAAAAGAGAAGACTCAAAATCAGAAATGAAAGAGGGCACATTACAACTAATGCCATAGAAATAAAAAGGATTATAAAAGACTACTATGAACAATTCTGTGCCAACAATGTGGTTAACATGGAAGATAATAAGTTCCTAGAAACATACAACCTATACTAACACTAAATTATGTAGACATAGAAAATCTGAACAGATTTATAACTAATAGTAAGATTGAATCAGTAATCAAAAACCTCCCAACAAGAAAAGCACCAGAACCAGATAGCTTCATGGGTGAACTCTATTAAACACTTAAAGAACTAATGCCAATCCTTTTCAAACTCTTCTAAAATACTGAAGAGGAGGGAACACTTCCAAACTAAGTTTATGAGGCACCATTACCCTGATATGAAAAGCAGAAAAAGACATTCCAAGAAAAGAAAACTACAGAACAATATCCCTGATTAATACAGATGCAGAAATCCTCAACACAAAACTAGTAAGCTAAATTCAAAAGCACATTAAAAGGGTTTTACACCATGACCAAGTGGTATTTATCTCTGGAACATAAGGATGGTTCAGTACATGAAAATCAATAATTGTGACACACCACATTAACAGAATGAAGAATTAAAATCACCTGATCATATCAATTGATGCAGAAGAAGCACTGACAAAGTCTAACATCCTTTCATGATAAGAATGCTCAATAAATTAGGAATAGAAGGAACTTACTTAACTTAATAAAGGCCATATATGAAAAGCCCACAGCAGACCTCATACTCAACAGTGAAACACTTAAATTTGTTCCTCTAAGATTAGAAACAAGGCAAGGATACCCACTCTTCTCACTTCTATTCAACATAGTACTGGAAGTCCTAGCAAGAGCAATTAGACAAGAATAAAGTAAAATAAAAGGCAACCAAATTGGGAAGGAGAAAGTAAAATTATCTCTGTATATGACATAATCCTATGTGTAGAAAACCCTAAAGACTTCACAAAACTGTTAAAAGTAATAAACAAATCCAGTAAAGTTGCAGGATACAAAATCAACAAACAAAAATTAGTAGCATTTTTAAACAATAAACTGTCTGAAAAGGAAATCAAGAAAACAATCCCATTTACACTAGCATCAAAAAGAATAATATACTTAGAAATAAAGTTAACCAGGGAGCTGAAAGACTAATACACAGAAAACTATAAAACATTGATGAAAAAAATTGAAAAAGACACAAAGAGACGAAAAGATATTCCATACTTGTGGATTGGAAATATTAATATTGTCAAAATGTCCAAACTACCCAAAGCTATCTACAGATTCAATGCAATACTTATCAAAGTCTCAATGGAAACTTATAAAAAAAATCCTAAAATTCATATGAACCACAAGAGACCCCAACTAGATAAAGCAATATTAAAGAACAAATGAGGAGGCATTGCATTTCCTGATTTTAAACTACAGTTATCAAAACAGTATGGTACTGGTACATACTGACCAGTGTAACGGAATAGAGAGCCTAGAAATAAATCACACATTTGTGGTAAATTGATCTTCAACAAGTGGGGAAAGAATACACAATGGGTAAATAATAGTCTTTTCAATAAATGGTTTTGGGAAAACTGGATAGCCAGTGTAAAAGAATAAAATTGGATGCTTATCTTACACCATAGACAAAAAATAACTTAAAGTAGATTAAAGACTTAAAAATAAGATCTGAAACTCTAAAACTCCCAGAAGAAAAAAATAAGGAAAAAGCTTCTTGGCATTAGCCTTGGCAATGATTTCTTGAATATGACATTAAAAACACAAGCAACAAAAGCAAAAACAGACAAGTAGGGTTACATCAACTAAAAACCCATGCAGCAAAGGAAACAATCAGCAAAGTGAAAAGGCAACCTATGGAATGGGTAAATATATTTGCAAATCATATATCGGATAAATGCAAGTCATATATCAGATAAAAGATTAATATCTAAAATATACAAGGGAATACTATAACTTAAACCCCCCAAAACAAATAACCCAATTTTAAAAATGGAAAAAAAGTTCTGAGTAAACATTTCTTCAAAAAAGGACATACAAATTGCCAACAGGTATATGAAAGGATGCTCAACATCACTAATCATCAGAGAAATGCAAATCAAAACCTCACTCGAATATCATCTCATGCCTGTTACAAAGGCTATTAAGGTAAAAACAAAAGTAAGTGTTGGTGAGAATTTAAATTGGTATGATGACTGTGGAAAACAGTATGAAGTTTCCTCAAAAATTTAAAAATATAACTACCATATAATCCAGCAATCTCACTTCTAGGTTTTTATACCCAAAAGAACTGGAATCAGGATCTGGAAGAAATATCTGCATTCCCTTGTTCGCTGCAGCATTTATAATAGCAAAAACACGAAAATAACCTAAATATACACTGACAGATGAATGGATAAAGTAAATATGGTGTATAAATACAACAGAATATTATTGAGCCTTAAAAAAGAAATAAATTTTGTCATTGCAACAACATAGATGAGCTTGGAAGACATATGCTAAATGAAATAAACCAGACACAGAAGAACAAATACTATATGATTCCACTTATATCAGGAA